ATATGCACAAGGTTTCTTTCCTAGTCACGAGGACTAGACATACAGCTTATGTGCCTTAAGCTTTCACTTAAAGCTGATCCGTTCCTGCAGAATTTCACTTTCCAAGGTAAGGCTTGTGCTTCCCACAGGTGAGAAGGGATTTCTTTTGAGCGCCGCAAAACGTTCGTATCATCCGGGACATCCAGTTCAGCATTTCCTTACTGATGTCTCGGGTTTCCACGACGGCATTCTCAGTATTTGCTTATAGGCGCTTGGATTAATTTGAGCACCATACAGATGGGTTTGCCGTGGGCAGGACAGCGCTGTGTGCATAGGCTGACGTGTCCTGATTAGGTGTCGGTGCCCGAGCCGGTGTTAGATTGTGCTCTCTAGCTTTTTTCAAATCAGCTTTCATTGTCAACGCAGTTTTGAATCTACACTTTTCAAACCAGGTCGGTCTGACGTGTGTGGTTTTCTGCTAGGTTAGTCTTGCTGGAAAACGTACCGTAGCTACGATACTAAGACGAACAAAAGTGGGAACTTGTTGGCAAAAGCCTGTTTCCTACCTCTCTTGTGTCATCCTGTTGACACGTGGCTTAGAAAGGTCAGATTTAGTCTCATCCGTCTTCCAGAAAGCAGACTGCGAGGCTCTGAACGGTGGGTTACATCTGGTCCTGTGTTTGATTTTCAAAACTGTGAAGGCTGCAGACACACAAAGAGTCTACACCACGGGGTTTCTGGCTTGTGAAGACGAGCGCATCCAAGAGCAAGAGCTTTTTTTAGCTTCAAACCTTAAGCTCTAAAAATTCCCCAAGTCGCTGGTTCTTTACGATGCTGGCTGCTCCGTCTGTAGGATTTGCATCCTGCAGGGCTAGAAGGGGTGCCTGCGGCCGAGACTCAGCCAGAGCATCTGCCCAGCCGAACCTCCCGGCTCTGCAGGGGTGGGATTTCAGGGGATGCTGCCATATGCTTCCTTGCCTTGGAGGATCAACTTGCTTACCTGGGATACGGCCTTTCCAAGAGGATTTATCACTCGCTAGCCAGTGTCGACACTGAGGAGGAGGGGGAGGGATGGTGACTGCTGCTTGCAACCTGAATGCGAGTCCTAGAAGATGGAGCAGGTGTTTATTAGCTAATAGTAGATGCTGGGATCTACTCTTTGATTGCTGCCTTTGTCTTCAGTAGCAATTTATACCCCTTTCCCCTCGATTTTGTACGCAAAATCCTTGTCCTTTTGGAAACTTTGTGCTTGCTCGTCCTTTTAGATCGACTTTCAACCTGGAGCAGACAAATAGATATGGTCAAGTAAAGCAGAGAGATTTTTTCCTTTTTAAAATCCTCTTAAGTGTTAAGTTTTACAGTTGCTTAAGCAGCAGCTGCAAAAAAACTAGATGGGAAACGAAGTCGCTTAAAATCATGGACCATCGCAACAAAAGGCGCTGTTTTCAGTTACGTCACAATTGAGCTGGCAGTCGAAGAGGCAGATGCTAAGGCTTTGAAGCCTGGTTTCCCTTCCCTGCTTAGGGAGCAGTGTGGCCAGCTAACGTCCTTCAGACGAGCCTACCCATGGATTTGTGCCAGAAGGGTTGTGGGTAAGCATTCACACCTGATCTTAATCCAAATAAGAGTAGGGGGAGGAAACAGAGCATTAGTTCACATCTCCATCATTCAAAGAGCTTTTCAGTCGTGGTTCTAAAATGAGAGGAGATGATTGGAAAAAATCCCTTTTCTCCTCTGATGCAGTTAGCCAGAAAGAAAAACAACACGTGTTGCTTCTCAAAAGCCAGGAAATTAGAACAGTTGCTATATGAGTCAAGTGGGTATTTCCAGACAAAGTACCACCAGCATTGGCCTGCTCACTGCTGCCTTGCTACCATTCCTTCTCTGGTGGTGACTGTTTGCAAGACCCCAGGACAAAGTGGTGGCCTTCAAAACAGGAAAATCTCCCTTCTTTTAATTGAACTTTGCATTACACCCCAGTGACTCGTCTCAGCGCTTTAGGCACACCACCAGGCAGTTGTGGGTGGGTTCATAGCCTCCTTGAACGATGAAATTGGGGATGTGTGGAGGTTTAAGGTTATGGGGAAGGTCTGCCTGTCCTTTTTGTTTGGATCTAGGTTGAAATATTGAATAGAATTCCTTCTCTCCAGTCTCTTATTGAAGTGTCTGATGGCCGGTTTAAACAACTTTAGAGCTTAAATCAAAACTGGGCCCATTGCCCAGGTACAAATCCATCACTGTCTAAACTCGGAGGGGAGCAGAGGATAATCCTTAGAGGAAGAAGGTCACAGATATACTGCATTGAATAGAAAAGCTTGACCTGGGGCTTTCCAGACCAAAGGGGGACTGACGGTAACTGCCTTGGGTAGGTGCCCTGAACTGGCCGTCTTGAAGCATCGGGGAGGACGGCTTCTAGCAGCTTTGCCACTAATTGCTTAGCTTCGTGCTTTTCCCTGGGGGGGTTTTGCATATTTGTTATAGTCCGTTCTCAGGCTTTTATTTTATTATTATTATTATTTTTTTGTTAACATCTGAGATCTCCGAGTTAGCAGTGGAGCTTTTAAGCTTCAGTGTCAGTGGGCTCACGGCGGGGAGGGGCACATCAAATCAGCGACTGCACAGCTGGCACTGGGTTTCACTTACTGCTGCCTTGCAAAACGGTGCCGAAAACTCCTCTCCTGCCCTTTCCTGTGACGCTGATTTGTAGTGTCTTAATCGTCCATTTAAAAATGAAATGAGAATGGTGCAGGGCACAATTAGTGCAAACTAATTGCAATTAGTGCAAACTAATTGCACGGCTTGACGCTGGCCTGGCATTGCCATCTGGCTGTAGTGGGTGGGAGGGGAGGTCAGTCTCGAGCACTGAGCCTTTTCCCTAATAGAGGTAGTTTCTGATACATAGGTAGAGCTTGAAATAACACCCCAAAGAGCAGGTAAATGGCCACGGGTTCTGGTTACGGCCTTCTGGGACTGGATTTGAGCTGTGCACGGAGAATGCCAGGGCTCTGCTCTGTTTTGGGGGGGGGGGAAATAGGCAGGGGCCCATCCAGCCCAAGTCCCAGTGCAGTGAGGTGGGGTTGGGAATCCTCCCTCTGATGCGGGGAGTAAAGGCAGGTGAGTTACCAGATTCAATCTGGAGCCTGCCTGCAGCCAGAGAAGGAGAAACCAGAATAACCATCTGGGAGGAGGGGGTGGGGGGAACACAGTCTGCGCTGGGAAAGACATGCTTCAGTTCTCCGCGTTAGCCTTTTTGCATTTCATCTGCCATCAGATTTGCAGTGCTTTGATTAAAGAAGCCGCTTAAAGGGAACAGACTGCAGAGGGGCCTGTTTGCTCAAACGGAAGGCCATTCGATTTGCTTCCCCGATGCTCTCGGTCTGGGTGAACTTGTGCCTCTGGGTTTGCTCCAGTTGTTTGCTATGCCCTCGCCTTTGCCTCTTCCCTTCCGCCGACCCTGACCCGCTTTCCTGCTGCTGGCGCAAAGTGCAGGGTAGAGTTCCAGCTTGGGGGAGTTTTCAGGGAAAAAAGCTTTGTGCTTTTTAGGGGAAAACAGCACCCCAAGCTGCTGGATTTTTATCCTGGCTTTTAAAAGAAGTGGCGCTGTATCACAGACCAGGAGAGTTGGAAGGGACCTCAGGACGTCGCATCTAATCCAGCCCCCTGCTCAAAGCAGGACCTTCCCCAACTAAATCATCCCAGCCAAGGCTGTTTAGCCAGGTCTTAAAAACCAAGGATGGAGCTACCACCACCTCTCTGGGGAACTTGTTCTAGTGTTTTACTATCCTCCTAGTGAGAGAGTTTTTCCTAATATCCAACCTAAACCTCCCTTGCTGCAATTTGAGCCCGTTGCTCCTTGTCCTGTCGTCTGCCCCCACTGAGCACAGCCCAGCTCCATCTTCTTTGCAACCCCCTGCAGGGAGGTGAAGGCTGCTGTTAAATCTCCTGTTGGGAGGTTGTCTGGTGGGGTTGCCTCCCCACCATTAATTGTGGCTGTGGGAGGCTGACCGCCACACTCTCTTCCATTAGCCAGGTGACTTTCTGCAAACATCAGTGCGGAGAGGTTTGCGTGGCACGAGGGCATGCCCTGCCTAGCCCTGGTTTATCCATTCAGCACATAAGCAGGAAGCGTAGTTAAGCTAGCAGGATGCTTTGTGCATGCAAATGCAGGTACTCAGCTTCCAGTCGGGCGCTGGTGTGCTTGGAGCATGTGTGCTGCTAATTTATTGTGCTGATGCATGCCACCCTGCTCCACCCCCTGAACCACCTGGTTTCACCTGGTGTCATGCCCAAGCTACTTAGCGACACGCAAAGGGGGCTATGCTTCCCTTGGTTTTAGGGGGACACTTTAAGCCAAGCCACATTTTAAACCTTACGCCCATACGAAGTGATTGCTGCTTCCTAGGCATGCACGCTGTTAGTGAGCTTGCAAAACCAGGCTGTAATCTGGTCCATCCTAGTTTGACCCCTGGAAACAGTGTGAGCATCTCGCTAACAAAACTAGTTAGTAGTCCTGGGTCCTACTGACATTTGGATGGGCCCTGCGGTAAGATCCAGCTACGGAGGCCATTGAGTGCCACAAGCTAGAGATCAAATGGAGATCCAAGTTGTTTTCTGTACTTGTCTCTAAAGTGGGTGCTTTTTTCCTAGTGGCTGACGGCCCACAAGGATTATCTCCCTACCTTTGGGTACAGACAGTGTCTGTAGTAGCTAAGTGAATACTCTGAGTACTGATCAGACCTTATTTGAAGCCCAAATTTACTGGGTTTGTCATTGGAGCAGCTTCTGAAGGGACTGGTTTTTTGGGGTTTTTTTTTTTTTGTTTGTTTGTTTTTTTTAAAGGATAACTAAGGCTTTTATCCTGACCTACCTAATGCTGTCCCTTAAAATAGAACTACTCCATTTGTACCCAGTTTATTACAGCTTCCCAGCCTTCCTATGAATAACCTATTTAGTGACATGCTTTTGATTTTGCTCCGTGCCTCAGTGTAACCTATAATACTGTCCTTTTTCATTTCTTGCAGAATGAACTGCTGAATTGGGAATTATCTGAGACCCAGTAAGACAGCGCTGCTGCCCTGCTCTCTGCTTTATCTATTTACAAGTTATTTAAATTGGACTTTTAATATCCTGCCAGCTGCTCTTCAGACACACATGGTGCATTGTTGGCATTCTCAGAATTGCATCTTTGAAACCCAGGCCTTCAGTAACCTTCATCGAACAAAAAGGCAACCTACAGGATTCATTTGTAGAGGGATTTTTCCAACCTGCTGCCCTCTAGCTTCATTCTCGCTGGTGGTGTATTTGTAAGAGACCATGGAGCCCACTATGGAGTACTGCTTAGCACAGGTGCTGCAGAAGGACGTTGGCAAGAGACTTCAGGTTGGCCAAGAGTTGATAGATTATTTCTCGGATAAACAGAAGTCTGCCGATCTTGAACATGATCAGACTATGCTGGATAAAATGGTCGATGGACTTGCCACCTCTTGGGTGAATTCCAGCAATTATAAGGTAAGATTTTACTTGTGGAGATGTTACTGGAGTCAAATGTTTCTTCAGCTGGTTGGTGACAGCGCCTTATTTGTACTAATTCTGCTGTCTGTGAAAGGCATATAGTAAAATTTCATTCACTCTAACGTGTTGCTTCTCAGTCCGATAGCTAGACTGAACACACCCTTTTAATCCCATTTCTCAGTCGGTGTGCTGAATCGGTGATCCTGGGACTAAAATGTCATTACAAACCGCAATCGCATGATTAAAACTGAATTCTAAATGGTAGTTAAGCTTGTCAAATGAAGTGACCAGGTTACATTTTGTGCTGCAGTATCTGGATTCTCTACAGTTTGTTCACCTGTTGGATGGCGCCATGACCACTAATTCTTTTGGTTAAAGGATTACCGAACGTCTGCCATACCAATTCACAATATAATCTGCTTAATATGTAGTGAGTTGCCACTATTCTTTTACTCTCGTGGTGGAAAGCAGCTGGTGAGCGTTTAAGTTAATTGGTAAAGGCAGCGTAATTATTTTATTATTAAAAAAAAATCAGCGACTTAGTTCTGTTTAATAGCTGGAGAGCAAGTGCAGTGGCTGAATGAACTTAAAGCAACCTTCTCATTGACAACATAGTATTGTTAGTCACCTCTGGTCAAGGGCAGCATGTAATGATGCGTTTCCAGAGACTCCAAGACCTATTACCATTGCAATGTGTATTAGCTTCCTTGGTAGGGCTCTTTGGCGAGGACAAGGCTAGAGGTCTTTTAGCTCGTGGTTGAGTTGCATCAGTTAGGCAGGCTGGGAAGCTTAACCACTTCTGTTGCAGACAAGTAGAGGATTTTGTTCTCTTCTTGTGAGTGTTGAGATTTTTCTAGGAGACTAAAATGGCTTTTAGGGATACAGACCTTTGAATAAGTTATCCCTGACTTCTGCCTAGGGGGATTCTGGCGAGTCTGGAGTACCAGTTGCAGGTAATCACAGTTCATTGTTGACGGCTCCATTTCACTTGGCCTGGTCAGTACTGCTCCAGACCATATGTACTTGGCCAACCTGTTGGATTTCTGTTTTTTTTTAAATGCTGTTTGTAGTTCCTCTTCAATTGTGGTTTGGGTGCTTGATCTGTCTGCACGCAATCACAGCAGGAAGCAGAATTTCCTGTCACCCTTGATAGTAGAAGAACTACCCAAAGATCAATCCTGGACACATTGGTGTCCAATCCTGAACACGTGGTCCACCAAAACACATTGGTCAGCCAGCCATACACAAGGAAGATTTTATGCTGGGATATAACATGCATTTTTCTGGTTAACTGGTTCCTCGAGCTTCATGCTACCTTTGCACCTCCAAACTCTGCAATGCTCAAGTACTGTAAATGTGAAATAGCAAATTTTATGGCAATGTGCCGAGAATTTAGTGACCCACGTTATTTTAGTTGCATAGCATGTTTTAAATTGAGTATGAAGGGAGAAGTGCAGAGGTTTATTTTTTCTCTTTTTTGCAATATGCTGTGTCTCTCTTTGCATTCTCCCAACTTTGGGAGAGTAACTTGGTAGGGAAGAGGGAGGCAGTTAAAAAAAAACAAAACCCCAAAAAACACTTTTCCCTGTAAATAACCTTGTTGCATGTTCATATAGTCTCGTTTTGTACAACTTCACATTAATATGTAAATCTCTGCATTCTGAAAAGTGAGAGGTTGGGCAATTTCGACACTTGCTGCCACCCATTGTTATGCAAACTAAGGGCGAGCATTCATGGCATCTCCTTATGACACACATCAGCTATAGAATATTTATGCTGGTTGAACAAAGGCCCCGCACACAGGGTCTCTGGCACCGTGGCACGCAAGAAGCTGGTCCGTCCTTCAAACAAAGGAATGAAAGCCAGAGAGTTGGACAGCTCTCCTGATGCTGCAGCGGGATGGGGTTCACATTGCGCTAGGAGAGCATGACACGCAGGTGAACCTTGTACCATGCTAGGCCCGTCTTCTCTTATGGTGGCTACTGGCTTTTACTACTTGGCTGCTTGGAGGGAGAGCAGACACGTGGGCTGCTTTGTTCGGTTCTGCCTGAACGACACTAGGTGTAAGTGAGCGTAGTGGGGGCTGCTCGTTCTCATCCAACCCTTGCAGTCCCATGAGACTCCTAAGATGAGTCTGTACAGCCACTATGCAGGGATACCTGTACCAACTTTGACTAATCAGACCGGCTTCTAATTAGCCAGGGCATAATGCCACTCTGGCACAGGTATACTGCTTCTAGTGTCCAAGCTGGCCAGGGAGCCTCTGCACAGCCGTGCCTGTGTATCCACTACCCAAGAGCGGCAGCCCTAAGATCACTGGAAGGGTTTGGGTCTCATTTGAAAGAGCCATGGTTTAAAGCATCAGCCTTGCTGCTTGGCCCATCCCCTCCGATCTGGAAGCATCTAAGAGACCAGACTGACACTCTACAAGCAGATTTGCTGTTCCTTAACACTTAATTAACAAGAAATCTACCCACGTTAGCACAGAAGGAGCATTTGGTTTGCCCGGGACTGTGGTCTGCTTGCAATAATGTTTTTCAGCTAAGCCTGTCAGCACTCCTGTCCTCCCAGCATCTGTGTTCAGAGAACAAGGGCTTATACACTACCGAGCTCAAAAGTGAAGCATCCTATTGCTGGTGAGCGCAGGTCTTTCCCTCTCCCTCGAATGCATGAACCTCAGCTCCTGCCTTCAAGCTTTTGTTTTAAGAGAGACCGTGCCTTTTCCAGACCAACAATATCTCAGAAGCCCTTGGAGCAGGTGTGCACACACCACTACTATTTCTCTCGGAGGGATGTGGCAAAACCAAGTGGGCGCTCGGGAGGCAAGGAGAATAAGTGCCTGGTGAAGGACAGGGGTGGAGTGCTGCCTTCAAAGGTCAGAAGAGGGTC